ATTCAGTTTTCCCCTGGTTTTCCCTAATCGACATTCCAATTATTTTTGCAGATCGACCGAGCAAAATACTGGGACCTAAGATTGAAAGTGCATGTGACGGTGACAAGTTTCCTGGCAGCTTCTTCTTGTAGCAGCGAATTGCGAGGTCAGTTTGCTGTTTTTTCAGTTGTTTAGCTTAATTGCATTCAAAAGGTAAGGGTAAAAGGTCATGCTTCATCTATCTATAAAGGTTGATCAATGTGGTTATTGTTTATTCCAGGCTTGTGAAGCATCTTTATAACTGAACAATGCTCTACACTGAATCAACGTTAGGTAAGCTTCTAGACCTCAGTAAACGCAGCTGTTTCTGCTTACTGTGAATCTATAAATGTCCATTCTTCTATATTCTTTTTCTTGCTACAATTTATGTGAATTATTGGACACAAAATGTTAAAAAACCAGTCAATGCAGGCCTAATATGTATCATTCAAATTCTCCACTCCCCGAGACAAACATGTCCCTATCGTGGCCAAAATGTCCCCACCCCCGAGAAAGTTGAAAAAGGACCACCTTTCTCTTTTTTTATTCAAAATGCACCTATCGATGTAAAGCTGGCAGAGGGAAGGCAGGGCATGGGGCATGGGGAGGGGATTTTTACTGCTCTTGACAGGGGCACCCAATGACTCAATGTTTCTAAACACATCAGAAGTGTACCAAATGGTTTTCTATAAGCATTAGAAGCCTGTTTGGTGTAATTTGGAGCTGCCAAAAAAACTATAAACCTGTTAGGATGCCTTAGGGACTTTGGTCATCTACATTAAATTTTTAAGACCTCGCCGCCATATTTTATATGTATTTACATTCGGCAGAGGGAGGTATGCTTGTCCAAAAGGGACAATATATCAAGATTTATTTATATACATCAAGATTTACATATATACATCAAGACTTATTTATATACATTAAGATTTACTTATATATACATCAAAATTTACTTATATGCATCAAGATGTATTTATATACATCAAAATTTATATATATATATATATCAAGATTTAGTAAAATCCAACTAGCGGTCTATTATCAATGCTGCATTCTCATTGGTTGAGCTGCTACTAGGCTATATGGTATAGTCCACTAGTAGTGAAAAGCGCAGGCTTTTTGGTGGCAAAAAAGGATTAAAGTCTAGCTTTAACTAGCTAAAATTTTTTTATTCTGGATATTTTTGACCAACTAGTTGGATTTTACTAAAGCAATTATTCCTCTTGCCCTCATTGGCCTCATGGGCTATTGACTCAGAGCCCATTTGGGCTCGAGGAATAATTGTTACTTATTTATCTATATAAAGATTTATTATACACATCAAGTTTCATATATCAGTGTCAAGATTAGTTTACATCAAGACCCATATACATTGTGATAGGCTTACATGAAGTACCAAGTCAAATTGGTTTGCCTGGTTAATACTTTGCTTCAAGAGCCTCACAAAATGGCGCATGTTAAACCAAATCTCGAACAATTTCTTGGAGCATCTCTAAGAGAACCCTATACGAAGCCATTGAAGGATTTAACAGGCACTATGAGCCTAATCGAGCAAGATCCCTCCGTGACAGTAGCCTCCGACTGCGTGCGTGCCCATCCAAATCACAGTCTTAAATTTGGACCCATTTTAAATTCATTACATCATCAAATCGTATAATTTCTGTGATATAGACCCACTTAAAGGCTCTTTGCGCTTCCATTCAACAAGATCCTTGTCAACAATGTACTGTGGCTGGCTTCAGTTCCTGACCCATGTATTCCACGGGACAGTCAAGCTAAAAGAGTGGCTCACACACATGTCCAATATAATCTAAGTCCCCTTAATGAGATGCATATTTACCAATAGAACCACTGGAATGACATCATTTTCTGTTGGTACCAATCGAACCATTGGTACCAAATTATGGACTATCGGAATTGCCCTGTACCCCACCAGGCCACATGGGAAAGTAATCTAAGTCCCCTTAATGAGATGCATACTATCCAATAGAACTATTGGAATGACGTGATTTTCTGTTGGTACTAGTCCTACCATTGGTACCAATGGACACCGTTCTTATCACCACTAACGCCGATGGAGTCTATTTGTGAATATTGGACAACCCTCCTTTCATCATTGTACTTGGACAACTTGCCTATAACATACATAGAGACCTTCTCAGTTTGTTGATGTATTATAGAAACTGATCTGAAATCCACGAGGGATCAAGGCAGCACTATTAAAAACACGGAATCCGGAATCTTGAATCATGAAAAATATACTTTATACTTTATAATTTTTTTAAAATCAATCACTTGGAACCGTCTTTTACGAATTCTGTATTCTGTTTCTGTGATTTCGTTTCATATTCCAGATTCTATGTGTTTGCTATATTGATACTGAGAGTTATTTGGAAGGCATGAAGACAGTCAAGTAGGGTTCTCGCTTGATTGGGCTCACAGCACCTGTTAAATCAATCAATTGCTTTGTGTAGCATTCTCTTAGAAATGCTTTGAAAAACTGCTCAAGATTTGGTATAACTTGCACCATTTTGCTAGGCCCTTGGAGCAAAGTATTAACCAGGCAAACCAATGTGACTTAGTACTTCATGTAAGCCTATCACAATCTCAATGTATATGGATCTTGATGTAAATAAACTAATCGTAACACTAATATATGAAACTTTATGTATACAGATAAATCTTGATATAGATAAAGAAATCTTGATATATATAAGGAAATCTCAATGTATATGAATATATCTGGATTTATATAAATAAATCTTGGTATATATAAATATATCTTGATGTAGATAAGTAAGTCTTGATGTATATAAATAAATCTTGATATGTTGTCCCTTTTGGACAACCATATGTGTGGAGTTAACTGTACATAAGGAAAGTGTTGTTGTAGAGGAAATAAAGGCAGTGGAATTCATGAGATCTCGTAGTGCGCAATTTATTTATGACGGAAATTATAATCCAATCGGATTACAGGCACGGGGTCATGCACCTAGCAGACTTCCGGTGAAGAAGTTAAGACATCTGTAACATAAAAGGAGAAAAGTAGGAGGCATAAAAAGTAGAGTCCATGAGGGCGAGAGGGATAGTTGTTTTAGTAAAATCCAACTAGTTGGTCAAAAATATCGAGACAACACAACTTTAGCTGGCAAAATGCGATTCAGCCACCATTGTTTTGGTTTTCAAAGCCGGCACTTTTTGCTACTGGTGGGCTATAACATATAGCCTAGTAGTAGCTCAACCAATCAGAACGCAGCAATGATAATAGACCACTAGTTGGATTTTACGAATAAAATGTAGTCAATGATGGCCTTAAGTTCACTACTTGGCCTGGTTCAGATGCCGATATTTCCCTGAGCTGAACCTAATACATTGAATTAAGTGCATGAAAAGTTTGGCAAATGTATTTTGCAATCAGTTCAGACCAAAATGAGCATTTTTCTCCTTTTGAATTTAGTTATACTAGGCTGGAATTAAGATCGGCGTCTGAATCAATTCGTATGGTCTAAATAGTTTGGGTCGTCCTTAATTCGAATATTATGTTTGGCTCATGAAAAGTTCAGCGTCTGAACCAGGCATACTATAGTCGTGGCCAACAGTTTCAAGTGCGTAGTATTCTTTTAAAAAAGGGGCCTGGGGCCTGGGCCCCCTGTTTATCCTATGATTGACTCACAATGTAGATCCCTTCCAATCAAGTTTTAATTTTTGCTGTTCGTTTCACCTGATATCAAGTACCTGTTGTTCAAAAACTACACATCTCAACCTGTAGCGGAACCGCCCTTTTATGTTTTTTATTCGAGCCACGAAAAGGTCTAGCTACTTACAAGACAATACCTTCATTTCGCAGTTATTTCAAGACCCCAGTATTGGCCCAGGTCTTGCAGATCGAACCCGTGAGTTCCCTAAGGGCCTTTTCACAAATGAGCCCGGTTTCCGAGATCTCGCGGTTACCACCTCTAAATCCTGGGTAAAATTTTTGATGTGTTCATATGAAGGGACAGGCTGGCTCGATTCCTGAGATCTTGCTTTTTCCAGTCGGGATCTTGGTAAATGGGTGGAAAGTTGCGCCATATGAACACTCTACTGAGCCCGGTTACTGGGATGAGATCTAGCGTGGGATAAATTCTTCTGTAATAGGGCTGCCCGGATGGCATCATCTTGCTTTGCCTGCTGTATTTTTCACATCATAAGTATCCCATTTGTCTGCAGTAATATACAGCTATAAGAGTTGCCAAAGCTACAATATAATAATAATTTTTGTGTTTCACCATTGGTTTAGTTTGTTTCTCGGATTTTGTGCCAGAACTCGTCCCTAAGATCTACGGCCTTTTCTCATCTCAAAACCAGGCTGGAATTTCTCATATGAACTCAAGGCGAAGTTTGTCCTGGTAACTGGGACAGTCCGGTCAACCGGGCTCGATCATGTGAATAGGCACTAAATTGAGTTTCTATCCTACGCCAACCCTGTAAAGTGATTTGTACAAATGTTGCAGGCAAAATCCGCGCTCATTTTGTAAACCGCGAGAATTTCTTTTGTCTCCTATGAACAATTAATGCTAGGAAACAAAGGAAATTTGAACCAAACTAGGTTAAATCTGATTTAAAATAGCCTGTGTTGCGGTCAGCCCAAGAAAACACACAGGCTACTATTACCCACTACATAAAAACCATGGCACGCTTAACAAGGCAAGTACTTCCATCTGGGTTCTGCCCACCCACCCACACCGTAGTTTGTCAGAGATTTCAAAACTCTACGGCATAACCAGGCCCCCAAAGGCTACCAAATTATTTGCAAACATAAATATACTGATTCTGTGTTAGCAATAAGCCTTCTTAGAATAATCGAGCCGTTCGAGCCAGAAAAAAACGTTTTTAACAAACGTGTTTGACTTGAGGGTATATCTATTCGTATCCCAGTGGCTACTAAAGTAACTGTATATTTTTACATTTTAGATGTTTGAAAATGTTGCTATTTGGCTATGGCATCTTCTTTAAAGGAATCTGAATCACGTGATGATAGAGTAGATAAAACCCACCGAGTGAGAGTGACTTTTTTGGCTTCTGAATGGGGATCAAGCAAAGGAGGGCTTTCCACCATCAACAGGGAGTTGGCCATTCAGTTAGCCAAATGTCCTGAAGTGGAAGTCTCTTTCTTTTTACCACAATGCAGTCAAGACGACAAGAAGTTAGCCCTGAAGCATAATGTAAAGATCGTTGAGGCAGCACCACTGCCTGGCTTTGAGCAACTGGACTGGCTCTGCTTTCCGCCTGAAGATTTGCAAATCGACATTATCATAGGTCATGGAGCTAAACTCGGTAAACAGGCACAAATCATTAAAAGATCTAAACGGTGCAAATGGGTTCAAGTGGTGCACACAGATCCAGAGGAACTTGGAATGTTTAAAAACTATTCAGATGGAATTTCAAAGGGCGTAGAAAAACACAAGACAGAAATAAAACTGTGTGAAATGGCGGATCATGTTGTTGGGGTTGGCCCCAAGTTGAGCGAGGCCTTTCGCTCCTATCTTCGCAGCTGCCAAAAAGATGACAATGTTGTTGACTTCACTCCGGGAGTATTTGAAGAGTTTGCGGCTGTGAAGCAGGCTCCTAGCGAAAGGCAACAACGCAGTGTCTTGGTGTTTGGTCGTGGAGACGTAGAGGATTTCAAACTGAAAGGGTTTGACATCGCTGGGAAAGCGGTTGCTGAATTAGAAGATACCCGTCTTGTGTTCGTTGGAGCTCCAGATGGGAAACACGAAGAAATAGCAAACCGGTTGACCGAATGTGGTGTTCCTGCAAGTCGCTTGAGAGTAAGGGAATTTCTTCCAGACCGAGAGAGTTTGAAACGCTTGTTTCAAGAAGTAGATCTTGTAGTCATGCCTTCAAGAACAGAAGGCTTTGGGTTAACAGGACTTGAGGCCCTGTCAGCTGGTCTTCCTGTGCTTGTCAGCCGCAACTCTGGTTTTGGAGAAGCCCTGTGTAGTTTATCCTCTGGTTCAATGTCTGTGATTAACACAGAGGACCCCGCAGAGTGGACCTCAGCCATTAAGAAAGTCTGGGCTAAGGACAGGAAAAACCGACTTGAGGAAGCGGAAACCTTGCGTTGTTCTTACGAAAGGAAATATAACTGGGCCAAGCAGATAAACGATCTTATTGAGAAGATGATCAGCTGGATCCAAGGTAGGAATGTCTATTTTTTTTTTATGTTTGTTTTTTTGCTTTGATTTTTTGTAACAAGTATACTCTCTTCGTGATTAAAATTGAATTAAAGAAACTAATAGAAAATTATCGAAAAACAAACAATCAAACAAACAAAACAAAAGAAAAACAAAATCTGAAAATAAAATAAAATAAAACTAAACTAAGCAGACACACTTTTATTTTGAAATCGCAATAGAAATGTTGGCAACTATTCAGCCTTTTCCAAGCTTCAGGATAGCAATACGTGGAAAACTGTTTCCCTTTAGATATTGTTGTAAGATTTTTAATTCATAACCATCTGTCATATGCTTCATCCACAGCTCACTTTTATAATTATCTCTTGTGTCCATATTTACCGTAAAAGCCCAGTTCCATTTGTTTTATCTTTAACAGATGATTCTTCAAATGTCACAAGCCCCTCAGAAACAACAGGCAGAACGTTTTCATCTGCCTGCAAAACTTCTCAGCGGACGGAAGGTATGGACGAGCACCGCGCAGGTAATTTCTCCTATCCTGAAAAACTTTTATTACGATCAGTACAATAATATTGCCCTTGAAGGGGTGTTCTGTGCTCAAAAAAGCGTTATCATACTTTAACAATTGTTCAAAACTTCAATTGCAATTTAAGACATTGATAATTGGCAGCATGTTGCGCTTTCTTGTTTTTTCGTCTTGGCGTACACTTACTGATGCGTTCTTAACTTTTCACTGAGATTTGCCGTAAATTGGCTTTGGCTTTCTCGCTTTCTATAGTTATAACCACCTTAGTGAGAGAGACAATTGTTGGCTTCACACTAGAGCTTGCAAGCATAATGTAAGTGTACCTGGAACCTACTTCGAGTGTGAAGAGGTAATATGTGCCAACTTTAACTTTACTTGGTGATCATGGAAACGATTCTAGTTAAATGAAGCCGAAGTTCGCCGCCAAGTATCGGGTATACACTATGAACGGACAGATAAACATTCAACACGTCTTAGCTAAGAGCATTGCGGAAGAGTCCAAGCCCAAAGCTCTTCGGCGATTTCTTTGCCAAAGAGCGCGTTGTTGAGCCGTTCTAAAGAAATACAGAGGAAGACTTCGCTTGTGTTTTTTTTCTATGACACTGCTAAGTACTTGTAAAAAGCGAAGTACGTAAGCATGTCTGTTAGGGTCAAAACCCTTTGAGTTCAAAGTACTCAAAAAATATACAACTATTTCGAGAAAGGTTGTCACAAAAAGTGCACGTGACAGTCCCGAAAGGTATTGTGGGTGGTTTTGATTTCACTGTTCTGAAGGTGGCTCGACCCAGTCTTTTTGTAGGTAGACCTTCCATCTTTGAATCTCTTTGACTTAAACAAATTTATCTTTTTTGTAAAACTATTGTAAACACATGTATTACACATAGACTTAACTTTATCATGATATTATTTTGGGGTCGATCGAAATATATATATCACGTGACAATGACGTCACAATAGTTTTAGCTCTAAATCGAATTGCACCCCTTATCGGCATTTTCTTTAGAAAAGCTTGATGTTTCCTATACTTTGGGTGCTTGTCTTCTGTTGTGCGAAGTTTCACAAAAATCTACAAGAAGGTAAACTGAAGACTGGAGTCAATGCAGACAAATTTGCTACTTTTTGGATGTTTCTGAAAAGTTTTTATCACTCGTTCGTTTGGCAAATGACCCTCATACACTCTACAACCGGCTAAAAGCGAGTAGACTTCCGCGATTTCGAAAAACACGAAAACATTTAAATCAGGGTAAAACGCAATGCTGAGCTCTTTTTGTAATTGTGTGGTTCCAGAAAATAGCCATACCACCCCCACAAAGGGGATTTGCCGTATGAACCCCCTCCCCTCTGGATTTTCCAAAATCGGCCCTCAAAATTCACCCCCCTCAACCCTCCAGAACTTCCAAAATTTTCGCACACCCCGTGAAACTATTGCTATCTCTTATTGAAGTGAACAAATAAGTAGTTTCGTTCACTAGGATGTCAAATTTTGTGAGTTTCATGTATTTTCTGTTGAATTCTATAACAGATAAGTGCATTCCTTATGCGCTCAAGTCACGATCAAATTTTCTACAAGGAGATAAACAAAAATTCTTTTGTGCTCAAGTCACGAAGAAATTGTTGAAAAAGTTCTTCAAATGAAATACAAGGTCGCGTAGGAAATATAAGCCTTTTTCCTCGCTTAATTTAATCCACCGTGTTAGACCAGCTGTTGGCTGCTATTTCCGCTGGGCAAACTGCCATTATCGCTAGGTTTTGCATGCGTGTCTTTTTTTTGTTAAGTATATCAATTAGTAGTCTGCTACACAGCCGTTTTTAGTGTCGTCACGCAACGCTCCCAGTGGGAAGGAGCGTTGCGTGACGACACTAAAAACGCCTATGTAGCAGACTAATCAATTAGGTTTTCTCAGCCATCAGTACTAGTGTAGACTTCGATCCGTCAACTTCAGCTCGGCATTGGGCCATAGGTTCTCTGTGCACCAGTTTTTATGTCAAGGCTAATCAGGTTTTCTGCGTGTGCAAACCAAAGATAGTACTCTCTTTTCTTTATGTTTTGGGGTTCAGTTTTTTGGTTCTTTAATTCCTTTTAATCGTTTTTTTGGTTAAGTTTAGTTTAGGAGCTGTTTTTTATTGCTCTTTTATTGTTACCGAGTCGGCTATTCTCGGAATATTGTTACATTCTGGAGTTATTAGGTTAGGTTTATACTGATCTTTAATATAGAGTTTATTCATTATTAGCTGCTGTCTTAGTATAGTCATCGTATATTTGATTATTTTCTTAGCCTTTCGTTTGATTTGCGTAAGTAAGTAATTGACATTTCTTAGTTGCTATCGTTATTGCGAATGGTAGCTGTAATTTTCTCGAATACATGAGTTTATCCTAGATTATTAGTTACATTAGTTTTTCCCTTTTTACTGTTTTATTTCAGTTCGAAACCACAATCACGACATATCACGACACTCGGCTTTATGGGACGTGGTTAACACTTTTTCATCTTGGCATGCAATCAGCTTCAATTGAACTTATCAAACATTGAACTTTGATTAAACTTGCTGATGGTAATCAGAACTTTTCGTCGAGTTCGTTTTTTATGCACCGCTCTTGTCTCTCTTCTACCCTTGTTATTTACTTGGATTTTTCTTTCTTATCCTTGTAAGTGACAGACGGAAGGTGTACCTAGAAAGATGCTGGGTCGAGCCACCTTAAAGAAATTTGAAAGAGTAGCTTGTGAGGCCATACCCAGGGTACCAGAGGTTTTTCTCGCTTGCGGTGGGAATTTTCGGTGTGGGCCGAAGGCCGACACATCTTTGGCCTTAACTACTAATGAGGCCATAGACGTATGTTTGTGAGTGCTAAAGGAAAGCAACAAAAATAGGTGCGACAGCTTCAGTGTCAGGAATAGTGTATTGAGCATATCCCTTTTGGGATTGTCGCGTGGACATTTTTACCAACAACCTTTCTTGAAATAGCTGTATACGAAACTACAAAAAAACTCTTTTCCAACGCAAAGGCCTCATGTGGTTGTAGCTTCATAGTGGTAGTATTTTACCGTGAAAGAAGATTGACACCTTTTACTTCAAGTAATATACTTTTTTTGCAAGTGTGAAGCCATGTTTTCTACAGAGCAACTTAAGATTTCCAAGTGCACTTAAATGAAGTGCTTACTTGAAACTAACTCCTCTTCTAGGGTGAAGCTAACAAATATATCTTCAACTTCGCTTTGCACATTTCGATCACCCCCTCCCCCTCCCTCCCTAATATACTGCAACCAATATTTTAAAACTGCAATTAATCAAGGTCAAACATAAGTCCTCTGCGCCCCGTGATTCAGTTAATAGTAAACAAGGACTAAAAAAGCAATTAATAGAGAGGAGAAGTGTAACGTCACGTTACCATGGTAGAAAAATGTTTGGATCACAACAATGGGGAGCTTAAAGGTCAAATGAACCAAAAAGTGAAATATTTTCTTTTGTCGCTTTACCTTCAGCAAACACTAAAAAGAACCATCGTAAGTAAGATTTGGGTAAAGATTTTTACATAATAAAACTACAAGGCTTGCAAATTCTGTGGCCGGCCGCAGCACAACGCCTTCTGAATTTTGTCCATTTTCTCCCACTTCCACACGTCCCTCGCTACCCAGCCTCCCGAATATCAAAGCCAGATAGTTTGCGAAGGTCGATGTCAAAAATGGTCGAGATTGCTTGCCTCTAATGACCTAAAGTGACGCCACGAATTTTCACATGCGCCCCAAAATCGCCATTGTCATAGGATGTGCACCAAAGTGGACGATCATTACGGCCGTATAAAATTCAAATGAACGACAATTAACCCTTGTCACCTCCCCACAGCCCACGTCGTACCCGCCAAAAATGACGGTTGGAAGCGGCTGATGCAGGTCATAATATCATGATTATTTTTTTTGCTGTAAGTCGCCTTTCGCTTGGCATCAAAAATTTGAATATAACCTGAGATTAGAGCAGAATGACCATGAAATACTCTTTGTGTTTACTCGTCACGCCGTTGTGTGGCGGCTGGCCGCCAAGTTTGCAAGCCTTGTCGTTTTATTATGTATTAGTCGGGGGGTGTCAGATTCAAGTGACTGAAAACGCCACAAAATCGCAGAACACGACACTAAAAACATACGGTTAGTTATCTTTATTCATTTTTTCTTACATTATAGTTACATTTGGGATCAAAAGGTGCAAAATTCTGTGTTTTATGAAGCATTCCTACTGATCACTTGAATCAAGCCGAGTGCAGGCTTACGAATTACAGTTAATTTATGGGATCACATGCCCACGTGACATCACGATCCCTCGAACAGTTCGGATGGTCCGCCTGTGGTTGACTATGTTTGTTTGTGTCGTTCTGTGCTGTTTTGTGAGAGTTATGACTTAGACTGAATGAAATATACGAGGTGCGAACGTTTGCTCCTTTGTAAAGCCTTTTTATTTGTTTTGTTGTCGTTGTTTTTTTTTGTCACTTGAAAATTAGTTTGGATTCAGAACAACCAATGTTAGATTAAAAACGGGTCATTCCGCCAGTCTGAGGTGGAATAAAATGTTTTGCGGAACATTTCCAAAGAGGCGAGTATCTTTCTGATAATTGTGCATTCAATTTGTGAGTTGATTTTGTGTCCAGAACTTCGCCTTCTTTCGCCGGGCTGAATTAAAACCCGCTTGTATTCTGTTATTAGTAGTTACAGTTACTTTTTTACGTGCCCCTATGCCCAGATTTATTTACCTCTGCAGAACCAGCGTCGTCCTTGTGTTCAATCAAAGAACCGTAATGCTATAAACGCATGCGAGTGAACAAACTTGCGCGCTGAAAACTTTCTCGGAAATCAGAATCCCAGCAAGCTTGCTCGAGAAAAGACTACTTCGATCATTTTTCTGTTGCTCATGTAATAATAGTCGGAGCTTTTTTGTTTTTTCATTTTTAATTACATATTTTTGTTTTCTTTCTGTACGCAAATTTTTCTTTTCAAGTGCTGTGAAGTAGCTGAGAACGACAACTGCGGGCATTGACTTCGAAACAATAGATTGACTCTTTGCCCGTAAGCAATTGCAGGAGCTGGATTTGACTGAAGGGAGCAAAACAAACCCTTATGTGCTGTTTTCTGTATTTTCTAATCATTCAGTTTGCTGAGTGTAATTTGCTTGAATGAAGACCCTTGCATGAACCAGTTATTAAAAATAGCTAAATGGTGAATCGTAGCTTGGTTGCGGAGCTTGCAACTGATCTTTTGCTTTTAAGATCTTTAAGTGGGCTGTTTTTGTACAGAAAATTCACTTCTTCATTGTCCGCAGGTATAAGAGCCTTAGCCTCAACCTCGTTCCCAGGGTTCTCTCCTACCCGTCCCTATGGAGCAAGAGAGAGAGAGACCCTTGTTGGGTCTGGTCACGTGGCTCCAAAACAAAATTAATTCTGAGGGAGGAGTCCTTTCTATCACAATTTTGTGTCTCGTTCACGCAATGATCGCAAGGTTCCGCAAGAGCAAGATAGATTTGCTAACCCTACAACTATAACTGAAACCATGGGAAATTTCTACTCAAATAGAACTTCCACAAGACAAACAAGTTTATTATTTTACCAGAGGTGAAAGTGAAAACTTGCGTTATCGCGGTTTAACCGACGACATCAATCGCTAGTAAAAATCTATGATCTTGAGTTCTACACAAGCGTGTTTATATTGAAGGGAAAATCCCTCTATGTTAAACTTGCATTAAAAGTAGCAATGTTTGCCTGACAGCGGGTGCTGGTAATCGGGTCGAATCAGTATACTGCAAAATCTACATCATAAGCGATCTTAGCTAGCGCCCCCGGAGCAGGGAATTCATATTTGCTGAACCATCACAATAATATTTTAGATCTAGTGACTTTACGGAAAGCTATAGTCTAAAATGAAATGTCTGCTTTTTCTACCCCCTAACCCGCCTTTGTTACGATGGGCAATAGAAAAACGTATCGCTTTTAGTGGTAGATAGAGATACTGGAATATAGGAGAGAGAATCTGGGAACAAGGCTGCCTTAGCCTTATGTCTATTTAATGAAAATTTGTTGATTTGCAACCTTTTTGAAGCTTTTTAGTTCACATAAGCTGAATTTTATGCATGATGGAATTGTTCTTTGCTTGTCGTATCTCTTTGCGATCTTAAAGTGGCATCTATGGTTGTTAAAGTGACTTCAGTCGGTAATTCAGTCATATACACAACTGGACAAAATTTTTTGCAATAAATATAACTTTAATTTTGTTTGAAGGAAATCTTACGCGTAGGTTTTTGACAGGTGTTATGCATGTTCAACTTGACAAGGCAAAGCAAAATTTATCTGGGCGAAAGGATCAAGTTTAATATATAGATTTAGCCAGGGCTGAAAGCGAAACTCTCTATAATATTTATAGTTTGTTCAAACAAAATATAAAATCGTGTAATGCTAAGCGTCGAAGGCAACGCCGGAGAACAGTGAAAAACAGCAGTAGGTCTAATAGGCCATTTTACAGTTGTGTGCTTAGTGCCCTGGCCTTTGAATAGACGCGAGGCTGGCGGTGACCTTGTTTTGTTACAAACCTGCCTGCTTTTCAAGTGCAAATCGTGGTATTCTCATGCTAACAAGCCCGTGAACATGATCATTTACATATGAAAAACAAGAAGGTTTGTAGCGAAACAAGGTCACCGCCAGCCTCGCGTCTATTCAAAGGCCAGGGCACTGAGCACACAACAGTAAAATGGCCTATTAGCAAAAAAACAACTTGGCATGTGCAGCACACTTTTTTTTGTACATTGCTTTCCAGTTGTTTTGCACGATTACAACGTTAAACTTTCAGAAACTTCTTAGTTACACGTTTTTTGGAGGAAACGTACGTCTTCTCGTTCACTTTTTTTTCACTGTCGCTCATTTTCACCTTGCATTGGTGGCCGCTAGCATTTCTCCTTTTGTCACCGCCGCTACAAAATTTTCATGTTGTTCTTCCAACAACAACAAAAAAATGTCTCCTTTTCTTTTTATCTCTAGCTCTAGATCTCTGTCGCCCTTTTTCTCATTGAGCTTCACTGGCCTGCCGCCTACTTTCTCTTTTTCTCTGTCTTTCTCTTGCTCTATATTCCAAATTTGTGGACATGACAAATAATCTAAGCCTAATACTTTAGACAACACGGATACAGAAACAATTTCTGCTTTCCGTTTTCGTCTTTATTGACTCTTTAGTTGTCTCTGCTTTACAAGGCGTGGGTGGTTATGCGATTTCCCGCCAAAATAACTTCGAGTTGCATTTGGGTTGCCATACCTGTTGATTGAGTTATTTTACATTGGTATGCCTGTGGTGCGGACGGACGGACGGTTGATCGATCGCTCGATCACTCGGTGTATGTTCACGTGATTACCAAATTTTCTGGAATGGATAGATTTACTTAGCTATGGGGCTCCGCTAAAAAGTATAGTTGCTTTGAAACCGATTTTGGGAAGATTTTACTAAATAAAGATTAAGACGGAATGCGTCAGGAAATTGAGTAATTTTAATTTTCAGTGGACAAAATCCTTTTACCAGAATAATCTAAAGCATATTGCATTCTTTTTTACATTTTTCAAGGGCTATAGATGTAACTAGTTATGTGTAATAACACCTTAGAAAATTTCTTATGGGCACCCGAGAAAATGACAGCTTGCCATGAACTTTTCAGAATTTTACCTGTGTTTTCACCATTCTTGTGAAATTTGACATTCATTTTCTCGGGCTCCCATAAGAAATTTTCTTTGGTGTTATTACAGATAACTAATTACATCTCTCACCCTTGAAAAATGTAAGAAAAGAATGCAGTATTCTTTAAATTATTTTGGTACTAGGTTTTTGTCCACTGAAAATTAAAATTACTTAATTTCCTGGTGGATTCCATCTTAACCCTTTTTCTACCCACATATCAACGCCAAAACTTCTACATTGAGGATTTTGTTTGTATTTTAGTGATCTGGGAAACTACAAGTGTCCGATCGAGCTTGGGTTTCAAAATATCATCTCGAGTGCGACAAAGTTCAATGACTTCAAACACTTTGTGGGCAAGCGTGAATTTCTTTGGGCAAATCACTATACAAAGATATTTTGTTTTTGTGTCCACAGTGGAGCTCCACACCTTTTATATCCAGGAAATTCCTTATGAACACATTTTGTGATTGCATCTTGGAAAAAATCGGACCTACGCACGCACATTTCCAGTACTGACAACGCAAGGAAATTAATGTCGTTAAAGTCCGTTTTACTATGATGTATTCTTTGAGAAAATTAAAGAATAAGAAGGTTACAACCAAAGCTTGCAACTTTTGAAGACAAATTGCTTGTTCTTTCTAGGTTTGTGGCCGCACAAACCACCATAATTTCTGCACTAAGTCGACTAGAAAAACGCTTTTTAATTTCCCTTTTTTTTCACCTGACCAACATTGACGTCATACGCTGTTTTTGCCGACAATTTTTCTGACCGCTCTACGAAGATAAGGGCCAAAAATAGCAATTTTTAATTGCGAATATCTCGGAGATGCTTGCTTCAATTTAGCTGAAACTTCATAGTATGTTTATTTGGCTCATATTAAACACATTTCACTAGAATTGAACTAAAAAAATGTCGAAATTTTGGTTCATTTGACCTTGAGCAACAACGACGGTGACAGCAACGAGAACGGCAAAAAAAAATCCGTAGGTTTGTTTTAGCAAAACAACAACTTTGCACGCACTTGCACACACCTGTCAAGGGATATTTTAAAAATGTCGAGGAACAAGTCATTCGATGTCAGAGCAAGGTTTGGAGCAATTTATAGTTTGCTTCTGAAACTAAAAAAAGTACCTTTTAAAGAATACCACGATAGGCAATCAGCTTTTGTTTTCATTTTAGTAAACAATTAATTTACTTGTCGCGAAAATGTGAACTGGTGGCTCCTTCTACCTCACCTGGTAGTAATATATTTTGAAATTCAAAACAATTTCACAGCTGAATTTTGAGCGCCTTTTAGTTACCGACTTCTGCTCCAACGATTTTTCTGAAATTCGTCTGGCATACTTATTATGTCAATAAAAGCCGATACCAGAAATTTCAGTAAAAATATCAGCAAAATTTTTACTGGACTTGATTTTCTTTAAACACTAGGGTCCTTTTAAGCGCTAATTTCTCAAGAAATATTTACCATCAATAAAATCAGAATATTTCGTATTATTGCCGAATGATATCTGTTGTTCTTTACAAAGTTTCGCAACCATCGCTCTAAAAACGAAAAAGTTATGACGGAAAATTTGTCACTGCAAAATGCTCCAATATTAATGACCGAGCCACCTTAACAAACAATCAACCGCCCCCTAATTTACATAATCTAACATCTGCTTGACCAGTCATGTTATTAGCCAATCAGCGTTTACCAGAAGGGAAGCAAATTTTGGCGGGAATAATGTCTCTTTCGAAATCAATTTTAGGGAAAAGTGATGTGAAAGAGAAGATCGCTCAGAATAATTCGCAGGTTTCTAAAGAAAGAATGACAGGAATTACAGTCAAACCAGGTCAAGATTCCATTCATGAATTAATTATTTGAAAATTGAACCCGTTTGTCGCTTCTGTAACTTGTAGCCGGTATCAAATTGCATTCAAATAATCGGTGAATTTTTTACTGCAATTTTTAGTATACGATGAAATGGAAAATATTTCAATGGATGAAATTTCTATTTAGACATTCTTCAAACTGGCAAGAAAACTGAGCAGGCAGAAATTTCATAATGAACTGGCGTGTTTATTCACTCCTCATTACGCAAGCAAAAATGCAGACTGAAATCAACAACAACTAACAGATGGCGGCGTTTTGGCCAATCGGAACAGCGCAAATCATCCGTATTGTTTCCTGTCTAGTCAGAAAAAAGTCCAGATTCTGGCTTTTTTGCATGTGATCTGTGAAAGAAATGTATCATGCCCTCCTCCCGAAAACAGATTACAGAGATAAAGGGAGAGGGCATGATCATGGCAGGTTATCACACGCCCGGTTCATCGAGTAGGTGAAGACAACACAAAAATTGTCGTTTTCTTTTTTCTAAACTTAGATACGGTCCTTTTGGATTCAACCCCAGAAAATTTCGCCAACTTTTGTAAAATTAAATGAGATTGAATAAGATCGATGAAGTTTGAAACACTGCGAATTCTCTTTTTTAAGTGACTTTTCGGTTTGTTGTCATCCAAAAAATTTTGCTACCATAGCAACATGACGTAACGACTTCTACTCTATTGTTAGTGGTTTTACAGTGTGCCTACACGAACCGAGCCCTGAGGCCACCGAAAAAATTTTGAGACAAATTTTGAAATTAGCCAATCACAAGTCGAGCTCTAAACAATGAAGTTGTGCATAATTTTGTACTCGGAGCCAGTTCAAAATACGTTGCGAACCATTTTTCTAAAAGATATAAAACATAAGGAATCGTGACGTTTTTGTAAATCAAGCTGAAAATGTTTTGACAACGCTGGTCTGGGTGTGGTGTAATCAAAGCCAGCAGTAAAGAAATTTTGAGCAATCCGAACTAAAGGTGACGACCGCGCATTTCACGGCAAACAGCGCTCAGTGAGTGAATTGCTGTGTTGGTGATTTGAGAGCCACGGTGGCTCGAAAACACTTCCCAGAATCCAAAAACACTTCCCAGAATCCAAAACACGTCCCAGAACCTAAAAACACTTCCCCAGAATCCAAAACACGTCTCAGAACCCAGAAACACTTCCCAGAATCCAAAACACTTCCCCAAAACCAAAACCACGTCCAAGAATCCAAAGGCATCCTGGACGTGTTTTGGATTCTGGGATGTGTTTAGCCGAGAAAACAGCCGACATTTCGCGACGCTACCACTGGTTTCCTGCAAAATGACGTCTGAGAAACGAGCGCAGAAATTCCATACTGATGACGCGTCACTACCCAGATCTGGGTAGTGCTCCTGATTGGTTGAATCAAATTTCCCACACAGCACGACCAATCAGAAGCACTACCCAGATCTGGTAGTGACGCGTCATCAGTATGGAATTTCTGCGCTCGTTTCTCGAACGTCATGTGGCAGGGAAACCAGTGGTGGCGTTGCAAAATGTCGGCTGTTATCTCAGGCTAGGACTTGTTTTGGATTCTGGCAAGTGTTTTTGGATTCTGGGACATGCTTTGGATTCTGACAAGTGTTTTTGGATTCTGGGAAGTGTTTTTGAATTGTGAGACATGTTTTGAATTCTGGGAAGTGTTTTGGAATTCTAAGTGCATACTTAGGGACCTAAAGTCTAAAATGACCCTTGTTTAATTAAACAAGGGTCTAATTATTAGAGCTTCAGTGATATCCGTTAGGGTTACTTGTGCCTCTGAGGCACTAAAATGAATTTCTTCTACATCCACAAAGCTAGATTCTGTTACTTTCTAGGAGTTACTTTTGGATTTTTTTTACAAAACCCCTGGTTTTTTTGTTTGTTTGTTTGTTTGTTTTTTAAGCAGCCTGTTTATTTTTGTAGCGGGGTTATTTCCTCCTTTTGTTATCTCCCAGGGGTTAAAGTGAATTTCTGCCATACCCACAGACCAAGATTCTGCTACCTTCCAGGGATGCTTTTTGTTTTTATTTATTTTTATTATTTTTTTGATAAGCACCCCTGTCTTTTCAGCATGCAAAGAAAGTATGTCCGATTGCCCGGGGCTAGTGGATTTTGCTATCGGGCTGGTGAATTCTGTTTTTGACTTGCCCGACTGGCAATTGATGTTTTTTGAGGAATTTGAATCACAGAAGAACTGTGAAAGTAATTCTGTTCGTCAAAAAGCTTTTGAGGCTAGTTGAAATGACGTCTGGGCTAGTAAATGCTAGCTTCAACTTGCCCAAACCGCAAGCTGTAAAAATGACTTTCTTTGCACCCCATTTTTGTAAAGCATCCCGGCTTTTCTTAAAGGGGAGTATCTCCTTCTCCTTTTGGTACCTCGTAGGGGTTAAAATGAATTTCTTCCATGCCCACAAAGCGAGATTGAATTTTTTTATTTGACTAGCACCTCAGTTGTTTAATAGGGTGGTATCTCCTTCTCCTCCCCTTCCCCCACTCCCTGAGGACATTAGCAACCAACATTACAGGGCTGTCAGTAAGGGCCGGGAGGTGTGGATTTCCTGGCTGCTATGAGCATGACCCCTGGCTACTTTATTCATAGGAAATAAAAAGGAAAATAGGACCGAAAGAATTTCCAGGATGTTCTATTCCCTGCTCTGAAACTTGAAACCATAGTGACAGCCCTGAACCCTAACCCATAAAAGAAACTCTCTGCTCTGCTGGCTTTATTTTCTGGTTTTCGATCATTCTAGAAATCTACCCTCTGATTGGTTGATTGCTGTGGTTTTGAAAGGCCCGAGAAATATTTTTTTCTTCCTGTTTTGAAAATGTTTTAGAACTGCAACTGCTTACTAGATGCCATTCAGAATCAACTTAGTGTGCAGCAGAAATCCTGCATAACCAAGTTTAAAAGATAAATTTATTGTCTAAAACTGTCCACACTGCAACCAGACATCATTTAGTGAATTAAAATGTCAGTATCACCCACAATCATGTAAAAGCTAAGATGTAAGCTTCCGGTCCCAAGACAAGCTGCTCAGTGCTTTTTTATTGAGACCCAGAACCTAAGATGTCAGATTGATAAACATTTTCCCCAAATACTTTTGAATAACTGTTGTTTTAAATGTCTCACTTCAATTTCTTTTCTATTTTGTTTAACTGACAGACCTGTCAGCAAGGAAGCAGCCCTCTAGCTCTGTGGCCACTAAGGAGGAGTTACCAGGTACTATTATATCTAAATATAAAACGGAAGTGGTAGACATACAGAAGATTAAAAACGCTTATTTTAATATGAAAATGACTTTTGTCGTTTGTTATATTGCAATATAAAATTATCTTTATTGTAGTAGTTGTTTATTTATATTTCAATAATAAGTAGCAAAGAAGAAGTATGATGTGATACTTCAAGCGTCAAATTCTTTCTTTCATTCAATCTTTCTGTTAGAATTTTGCTAAGGTATTTTTAACCTGCGTTAACCGTCCTCGAGGCAAGTCATAAAAAACAGGAATTATTTTTACCACTCAACCACAAACGTCACTAACGGCTTTGGAGAGGTAGCCCTCTATTGGCGGTGTCTCCTCTCTGAACCTCTCTTTGTGGGGTAACGCCCCTTTACACTTGCTTTACTGATGCAGTCTTCAAAGATATTTACATCTACATGTTACTCGGCCAAGGTTGCCCATCCCGCCATATTCAGGGCCGGGTTGTTCGAAGCTGGGTTAAGATAACTCAGGGTTAGTGTGAAATTTGAACTCAGATTTGAGAGCTTAAAAATCAAATTCAGTTTTATTCTCTTTACGTACAATTTGATGATTGGATACTCTAAAAAGAATAGAGAAAATTATTCGGGAGAGTGCTTTTGATAAAAGGAAAAAGAATCCCAGGTTAAAATTTAACCCTAGGTTAGCGCTAACCGGCCTTCGAACAACTGGGCCCAGAATTGTAATTTTAATAATTAATAATTCTATATTTAGCTCGGTGAAATTACATTGTTAACTTTACATAACTGAAATTTGTGCTAGGTTATAACTTTATAATGTAAGAGAAATAATAAGTGCGAGCTGGGGAAGCTAGATAAACTGTTAGATTTTCTAGTTAGCTTCTCATCAAATTAAAGTCAGTGTGTAAGCAGGTGAAAAAGAAGAAAATAGAATAGATAAATGAATTAATAAATTCAATTCAATTAATAAACTCAATTAAAAAAGAGCATTACTTCTACGTTGACCGTTGTATTTATATTCCTACACTATATTCTGGTGTTTTAGAGCCCTGATATCTATATGCACTGTTACTTACATTTCTTTTGGTGTATCATGAGTTGAGGATAATTTGTTTTTGAATATGGAAATTTTATTTATATTTGGTGATCTGATCAGTTTATATAAATGAGGGCCTATATTTTGTGCGTCAACTACCACCCTTTAACTTTCCTCACCTGTTAAGATATCAAGTTATAAACGAACAATTCTTTAACAAAAAGGAACTTAAAATTTTCTTTAACAGATTCTCTCTGCCTCGAGGAGTGCCAGAAACATCTGCGATCAATTTATGAAACCAACAGCAAAGTCAAAATCGTTCCGTGGGACCAAAGTTCTGCCGTTCATATTGATGAAATTTATACCCAGTTGTCTTGGCTTATGGATGAGAAGAAGCCCAGCGGAGTAACACAGAAGGAACTTGAACACTACACCGACATTTTTGACGGCGGAAGACTTCATCATACGCCTAAGCGCATTTTGGTCCACGGACGACCAGGTATCGGCAAGACCGTTTTTACGCAGAAAGCTACATTTGATTGGTCCCAACAGAAATTTAAAGGAAAGTTAGGAAGATTTGATCTCGTACTTTTGGTCAAATTACGCGATGTTTGTAACCTCAACGATGTTCCAGCCATTCTGAGGAATGCTAATCTTCTCGCGAGTGATAGCCCGATTTCCACTGACAACCTGTACGATTACGTTCGTCGCCACCAAGAAAACGTGTTGCTTATTTTGGACGGCTACGATGAATACGTACACAGCGCAGCAAGCCAATCACCTGTTCTTAAAATCTGGGAGAAAAAGCAGTTGAGGGATTGCTGTGTTGTTATAACATCTAGAGACATGAAAGGAGAGGGACTGAAAAGTTCCAGCGATGCTCAATTTGAGATCGACGGTTTTGACCTTAAGGGACAAGTAGAGTTCGCCGGTAGATTCTTGAAAGATGGTCAAGATATTATAGAGTTTTTTGAATACTTGAAGCAACAAGACCTGGAAGATGTAGCAAAAATACCTATTTTGCTTTTAATGTTGTTGTTGGTTTGGAAAGAAAAAGACTGTCGAGGACTGCCTTCATCACGGCCGATGATATATTTTCAGTTTTTGCAGACTATGTTTAATCATATGTCAGAAAAACAAAAAAAGCGGGCGGAAAAAGTTGACGATCACAAAGAAGAACTCTGTAAAGTAGGAGAACTAGCCTTTGACGCACTGCTACAAGATTTACTTTATTTTCCTCTCAGTAAACTGCCGGATTACGTTTTGACTGAGAAACTGATCGAGGCCGGGTTGTTTCAGCTGCTAAACATGTCCGCTCTTAACCCGTGCAAAGCCGTGCACTTCATTCACAAATCCCTGCAGGAGTTTTTGGCTTCTTTATTTCTAAAAGAAGAACTGTTATCTCAAGAAAGTAAAAACAATTCCCTTTTCAAAGTCGACTCAGTTGAAAAGATCTTCAAGTTGAAGGAAGTTTTTAAATTTGTTGCTGAAATGTCAGAAGAAGCCGCGCGTGAGATCTTGATTCATCTGTTGGGAATGGCGGCGAAGGAAGACGGAGAGTACAGCTTCGACAACCAAGCACCGTCAGTCGAAGATTTGTCAGAAACACAAAGAAATCTTTTAACTCTATGTACACAGTTATTCTTCTGCTGTTCAGCAGATACAAGAACAGAACTTTTCCCCACTTATCTTTCTAATCTAGGAGGTGTTTTGTTCATTTTAAATCCTGAGCAGCTGAATATTACAGCAAAGGAAAATTTTGTTAAAACTACTGCTTCACTTTTGTACATATTTTTCTCTGACAGCTGCCAGTATACAAAGCAAAGTTATAATAATTTAATTTGTTTAACACAGCAATTAAAGGCTGTTATAGTTAGTAGAACAGGAAAACAGAAAGCATCAGAATATTTGACTGTATTTCCATGGCGTAGAGTAAACGAGTTTTTCTTAATGAAAGAAGAAAACAACACTCACCTTTATTTTACTCATATTGTAAATAGTACAGATGCTAGCATTCCTTTTCCTTTTAAAATGGTAAAGACGTTAGTTAGTTTAGAAGAGACAACAAAGAAGACAAACATGAATGGTGATGAGTCAAGTGAAGAGAACAGCAGCAGCTGTTGTTCGAAGCGTCATGGTCTCTCCAGGGTTCGGTGGATTATAGCTTATGTCAACAGGTCAGAAGTGGAACTGATGATGGAGATGATGCTGTTTATCACCGCTCCACACGTGGTATGGGTTTGGGGTAAAGACGGTGAAGTGTTTGATGCTGAGGTAACAGAGTCTCTGATGAGGAGGATCTCAACACACAAACTGGAGTGGTTAACACTCCATGGTATCAGTGTAACATCATCACCTGCCGTGGAGTTCATCAACAGAGTATTTGAACAAGATCTTCCAAACTTGAAGTTGCTCTACATGTCAGACAATCCTCTTCTGGGTGCAGGAGTCGACACCATAATTAAACATCTCAGCAGCGCTCCTCACCTGGAGGAACTGAACCTTAGAGGTGTGAAGATGACTCCACAGCAGGTGATGAATCTCGCATCAGCTGTAAAGCAGCACGGAAACATCACTGTACTTGGGACAGACTACCACGTAAGTTTTCCAATTTTATCGCAATTTGTTTCTTTATTCTTTGTTTACAGTTTATTTCTACTCAGCTCTTGCCTTTGGCCATTTTCCTTTCTTTGTCATTTTTATACTCGACAAAACACGAGATTTGCTTTTGAAATCAAATCACAAACTTTAGCAGATTCAAAATATCATTTCAAATTCATTTCTTTCAACTGATTAAACTAACTCCATAAAATGTTTTAACTGAGAACGTTTAGAACAAGTAACTGTAGCTGATATTAAAACATGGAGTTGAACACAAGAAGAGAAATTTCGTATCTTTAAGCAGCCATAAGATGATATTATCGGGTGAAAACAAGAACTTTTAGCAAAAACAAAAGCACATAATTTCCACAGTATTAATTTCTAAATCAATTTTAATTCATACCTTTTCATAAAGTAACAAACAACAATCATAAAAGCAATTGAAAGATGTTCAGTTCATGTTCAATTCAAACAAATGAGCTTAGTTTGGTATTAAAAAAGATGAAGAGTAAACACATTGAACTCACAGTTTCACATTTATCGTCCAGGGCTTCCTACAAAAACAGTTTAAGTCTAGGGAAGTTATTTTGAAAGTCCCGAAAACAGACAAGTCTTTTTTATAGCTGTTGCTTTGTTAGTTCTTGAGCGTTTCTTTGGTAAATACTGGTCCTTGCAGTTCGGTGAAGTGTTGGTTTTTGAAATAACAACCCACAGAAAAAAATTGTATCTCCGAGACAACGGTTGAAAGCAACACCCAAAAAATTTTCCTTACAGGTTAACACTTCGCTGTTCTCCACTGTATAGCATAAGTGTCCATTGCAAGATTTTCATCGCGTAAATAGCATAAGTTTGTTTTCAACTTTCCAAGAACACTAGCTATACAAATCAAATCGTGCGTAGCTTTGGGCTTTCGTGAAATATCCTAATAAATGATGTTTCCTTGAGCTTCGAACAACTCCTTAGCATATTCCTGAGTAAAAAGAGATAAATCCCTGTCTTTTGCCGGTATCATTTCCTTGATGTTTTCTTATTAAATTTTGAGTTCATCCTGAACAGTTTGCCGTTGAAGAGCGAACTGAACAAACTACAAAAACAACAAACGATGTCATTCAAAGCCTAGTGACGTGGCGGCAGCTGATTGGTTAAATCTACCTCGGATGATGTTTCACGTGATGACATTTTCCCGCCTTTTGTTTTATTACGTAACAAATTCCGCCCGCAAAAATACACTGTGATCTGCGAATTTTGTGTTTCTGAATATATTTTCAAAAGAAAAGAAAAAGGATTTGCAAGTGTTGATTTTGATTCTATTATTTTGAATGCGAATTTCTTGTACGTGCGCGTTGATAAAGATAATGTTTCTCTTTCCAATCCCGCTGAGAGGGGAGAGGTACAGGGGGGTAAATCTCCCTCCTCCCTAAACTTGGTTTAAAAATTGGCGACGGGTAACACTCGTTTCTTGAACTTAGTCGTAAAGGTCGTTTTTTGACCTTCAGCGCTTCGCCTCTACACCAACATACCACACAAAGAAGGCGTAACCACCGTGTGTCTACTGCAGTTCTGGCCCCCTCTCTCCCTCTCTATGTCACGCAACGCCGAGAGAGGGTCCAACCCCACATCCCTTAGGTCCCTTATCATCACTCCAAAAGCCACTGAATTACCTTTTCATCGATATCTCCCTCCTCCCTGTTCTGTTTCTCTTTCTTCCGCCGAGAAGTCAGAATTTTCGGTAGGAAAAATTTCTCTCAACAAATAACTGTAAAGACGCCTAAAATAGTTTGTCAGTTGTTGTTGACACATTAACCATGTGCTCGTATAATTTTTGACAAGGTGCCGGGTTCGAATCCTGCTCAGTACCCTTTCTTTTTTCCTTCTGTCTTTCTCATTTTTTTTTTTTTTTCGTTTTCGTGTTTATTTTGTTGTTGATGTTTTTAAATACATACCTTCTAGAGCAAAGATAGCATATTTATGGATAAACAATCTGAATTTCTATCGTTTCCTACAATTTTCATTCCTTTTTTATTATATTCTACAAAACTGAAACAGTAGCCACATGCAGTCACAGACTGCCTTTTACTATATAGGCCAAGTTTTGACTGTTGATCTTTGCTTTCGGCACGCGCGGCTTGTTTTGAACTTAGTTAATCGTGTCAAAGTTGTTTTCATATTAACAATTGTTTTTCGTTTGTCACTGTAATCGCATTGTACTTAAAATGAAGGTTTTGAAATGTGTACACGTCCACACTTTATTAAAGGGAGATTGGTGGTTTTAAGTATTATTTTGTATTTTGTTGCAGGATAATAAAGGAAACCCCAAACCTGAACATGAATGGCCATCAGAGGACGACTGGAAGACTGAGTACTCTGACCTCTCTTCTGATTCATCACCTGAATCAGCGCATGAGCAGGAGCAGGTTAGTCGTCACACACCTATTTTTGTGAAAGTTTATTTATTAAATATTTAGTAAGACTTTCAGTGTTTGCGTGAACAGTTCTATTTTTCTGTCCGTCAGAGATAATCAAATACGCTCAGCAGCCTTGATTTGTAAGTCTCCATTACCGAGGATTTTCGAGTTGGTGATACTGAGTTAGTTTTTAATACAGTAAAAACCCGCGTGTAGGAACCTAGTGCCTTCATAACCTGCTGGTAGAAATTTGCTTCTTTATTACCCAACAGTATAAGAACCAGGTTGGCCAAACGAGATCAGGCAAGTTCTTATCTGTGGGTTACAGTTAAATTAATCATCATCTAAAAACATAGATTGAACAGGAAAAGGTTAGTCACCAGCTTCGTTTCTTTAAGTTTATGCTGCAGTCATTGGAAACTCCGGCCCCCCGGCCCCCGGGACTTAGCGAGGAATTTAACATCGGGTTGGTGTTACAACACCGCTAATTTCCCCGCTTCCCGGGCGAAGTAGTTTGTTAAAAGCCCCGTATAGCAGGGAATTAGTAAAGTGTAGTTCCAGGCTCGATTTCAACCGCTCTGTCCGATCTGGTATTCTGTATTTCTTAAAATTCAAACCACCTGTTAATAGAAACTCTCGATAGCGTTCCTTCAAATTCATGAAAAATGTTACCCTGTGTGCCAGAGGATTTTTTTTCTTACCTAATTCCTGAGAACGGACCTTTAAAGCCAGTGTAGAAAAATGCGGCTAGATCGCTTACAAAAAAGTAACTTCTGTATGGTATACTTGTAAGGGGAAGGGATCTTAAGCGAAACTCGGGGGATGTACTTCCTATATATAAGCCATATAGGTACAGTCAACTCTCGCCTTGCGGACACCCCGATAATACGGACAGCAGCTAAATTCCCCGGCAAAAACAAATTACAGATGTTTGACTTAAAGAAACTCGCGCTATTACGGACTCTCGCTTCGTGAACTCAAAGAGAGAATTATCGATCGATGTAGTACATGAGCAATTAAGAAACACAATTTATGAGCAAAGTATTTCACCAGTTGACGACACTATGGCTGAAGACTTGATTGTAAGCTGTCGTAGTCAATGAAGCGAACAACCCAGTTGTCAATGAATGGCAGATGAATCGTGATGTTACGCACGTCCATGAGCGAGGGACGTGACAACTTTGCCATGTTAGAAGACCGGCTTTTCCTTTAAATATTTCCTTCTATTTAATTTGGAGGTGTAAATTTCGGATACTGAGGATAAAGAAGACACGGACAAAAATAGGAACTCTGCGAATTTCGCATACAAGTTCAAGGCTTGACGTGAGGAAAATAGGAGCTATTACTGACAAGGTTTGGTGCCTAAGTAGAGCATACAATTGTAGCCCACGTCGAGGTTTCAGGGGGTTTGCTTTTTGTTTGTATCTCTCATAGATATCATTAATGAATCGATTATTTGAAAACTGAATCAATTGGTCGTTGCCGCAACTAGTTAATGAAATACCAACATACATAGGAACATGTCCGTACTAAGCGTCCTAACGTACTAAGACCGAATAGAATACCAACATACACAGGAACATGTCCGTACTAAGCGTACTAACGTACTAAGACCGAATAGAATACCAACATACACAGGAACATGTCCGTACTAAGCGTACTAACGTACTAAGACCGAATAAAATTCCAACATACATAGGAACGTGTTCGTACTAAGCGTACTAACGCACTGAGACCGAATAAAATACTAACATACATAAAACATGGCCGTAGTAAGCGTACTAACGTACTGAGACCGAGTAAAATACCAACATACATATAACATAGCCATAGTACGCGTGCTAACGAACTAAAGCCGAATTAGATGCCAACATTTTGAGAACATCGCCGTATTTAGTGTATCGGTAACGTTTTCAAGGCTGCAAAAAAATGCTAACGTACGTCGCGAACATGACCGCGTTACCGGGCCGCGTTAACAATAGGGAGCTTAAGCAACGACGACGGCGACAGCAAAGAGAACGGCAAAAAGCAAAAGGTTTAGACTGGCAAAACAACAACTTTGCACGTGCATCACGCTTTATTGTACATTTCTTTGCCGTCACTGTACGGCTACAACGTGAAAGTTCCTAATTTCACCTTTTGTCGAGGACATGAACAAAGGACAACGACTTTCTTTTTCTTTTCCTGACCTTTGATACAGTCTTTTAGAATTCAACTCCAGAAAAATTTGCCAACACTTGACGAATTGAACGAGTTGGAATAAGCGAGATAAAGTTTGAAGTAGCGCGAATTCACTTTTTAAGGGACATTTTTGTAGCCGACGGCGACGGGAACGAGAAGGCAAAAAAGCAATTGGTTTAGATTGGCAAAATAACAAGTTTGCACGTGCATCACGCTCTTTTGTACATTTCTTTGCCCTCGTTGCAACGTGAAAGTGCCTAAATTTACGTTTTGTCGAGGACATCAGGAACATAAGACAACAACTTTCTTTTTCTCTTCCTGAACTTTGATACAGTCCTTTAGATTTCAACTCCAAAAAAGGTTTTCCAACATTTGACGAGGTAAACGAGATGGAATGAGCGAGATAAAGTTTAGAGCAACGCGACTTCACTTTTTAAGTGACGTCATTGTAGCCGTCGCCGTCGTTGTTGCTTTAGCTCCCTGATACATGCGTAGGGCACTTAAGGTCAAAAGCTTTTAAATCCTCTGTTTAAATCATTACTGCACATACCTCGACTTTCGGGGACATGCTGTAGCTGATGCGGAAAAAGCAGGGATTTATCTCAAGGTTTCGGAATCAGTTCCAATCTTTAGGTTGCTCAATTTATCAACTCAAATTTATACTATGCAACTGAAACCACGGAGAGACCACAAGACCCCGTACATAAGAAAATTTATCGACCGTCAAAGCGGCACGACGAAATTTGGACACTTCCCATCAACAGAGCAGCTCTTTTTCTTTCACTAGAAGATACTTTCAGTCGTCATGATCAAACTCATCATCACTTTGGTCAGTCATGGAGATGGGGGTTGCAGAGTTTTCCAAACTCAAAGAACTGTTTGCGAACGCGAGGAAAGTTCAGTCATGCCCAATACTTCCGCACTTTTACAGACCGTTAGAGCAGTTGAGGGATCGTACGCTCCGTACAAACCATCAGCATTGCTAACAACCCGTATTCTGAGCACATACGGAGCGTACGTCTCATTATTACATCGGGGCACTGTGTGTTATGGTTCGTACGATCCATATGCTTGATTGATACAGATCGTATTTATTCCTCACTATGATAAGCTACATACGCCATAAAGCAAAACAAGCACACTCCAACAGTAGTATTTCTTGTTCTATAAGCCGTGAACCAAAACAGGCATGCCACAAATGTCATATTCCTTGTTGTATAAGCTAAAAAGTGAAACAAGTGCTGTGCAAAAGTATAATATATCTCGTTCTTGCCACCCAATGTTCGATATTTCCTGACCGTCGCTCTTAATTTGGAGAGATTCAGATAGGACTTTCCATTGATAATACATGTATTCTTTAGGATGTCCCTGGGGGTGATGCTTGCATGTGGCCACAAGAACCAGGAGGCAAAGAAGCACCCGGTAGACCACAAACAAGTCATGATGATGATGATGGTGAAGGAGATGATCAGAGTGACAGCTCAGACAATGATGATGATGACGAAGATGCCCATGGAACTGCACTAGAGGGGTACAGCATTTTTTTATGAATCAATCAACCACCATTTTATGATCTTTATTATTTCTAACATACAAGCTGGATCCATCCTGTTAGCAGACACCCATGCAAACATGTTCCCATTTGTTCACAAAGACGCAAAACTCTACACAATCTCCACCTCTGGTTAATTGACACCTCTGTAATTATGCAGACACCTAACACTTTACCTTTATTACTGAAAGGATTGATTGTGTGGTTAATTGCAACCAGTCTAGCTTTCTTTCTCGAAATGAATATTATTGTTATTCTTTCAGGGCCTATGATCCAGCTGATTTTGAACACCTTCATGTCAGCCAAGAAATTAAGGATCTTTTTCAGTACATTACAAGGTACGTAGTTATTTATTTTTCTTTTATAAGGATTGCTAAGGCTCAACAGTCAGAACAGTAGGAAGCGGGGCCCCTGAAAATAAACAAAAGTTAACTGGAACCTCCACACATATTTATACAGAGAAGGCTCTCCAGTGATTTCTATGTGGATCATAATTTGCATCATCTGTGTTCTTCTATCACTCCTAAGGTATACACCTCAAACAATTGATGTGGAGCACAAGCTAAAGCCATTTAATCCAGATTTTATTCCTGCTGTTGGAGACATTGATGCATTCTTGAGGGTAAAAGTGTTTTTTCGTATGGTAGAATTGAAGAAGTTAAAATCAATTTTTTTTTGTTTTTACATACATGTAGTAGCCTTAAACCTTCACTCATCAGTTGCTGCAGATACAAGGTCCCATTTGGAAAATACCCCACTCAGAAACCCTTCACTGAATATTCCCACAAAAATGAGATATCAATAACATATAAAGTATTATCTAATGATGGTGTTTTGTTTATCACTTTGTCAGGTAACTCGTCCAGATGGTAAACCTGAGACTTTAGGGTTGGTTGTACTGGACGAGCCTATTGCAAAGCAATCAGATCCCACAGGTACTATGAGAAAGCAGAGGCTATTCATGCGCCAGCAATACATTCACAATAACACCATCAGCAAAAGTGTTGGTTACAAAGCAAACTCAAACCCTACTTGCATTATCTCGACTCACTTGAAGCACTCACTCTTGTAAATTTCCGTTGATTTCAGGTTGCAATGAAAGTCAGTTTCACATATACTAGCCCAAAAACAAAATTTAATTCTGACAAGCAGTATTAACAATAATTTATTACAGTGCGGCTATACACAAACAAAGGCCACCCGGACAAAATTCTGGGACAAATTTTGAAATTAGCTAATCACAAGTCAAGATCTAAACAATGAAATTGTGCATAATTGTACTCAGAGCCAGTTCAGAATACGTTGCGAACCATTTTTCTGACGGATACGTTGTATAGCAAATAGGGAATCGTGATGTTTGTGTAAATCAAGCTGAAAATGTTTTGACAATGTCTGGTTTAGCTGGAATCAAAGCATTAAGAAATTTTGAGCAATCTAAACTAATCTTTGAATTCCTGTAGCCTAGTCATTAAAGCCACTAGCCCAAGGCTATGGGACACACACAGTTTCGCCTCCCATGCAGGCATTTTATCCCTTCCTGTGAGGTGAAGAGGAATACAACTCTTGTGGTGCCTTGGAATATAATGTAGAAGGTGCAGTCGCACTTTTTAGCAACATGTTGAAAGTGTTTATATATAATAACCCTTTCCTTTTAGTTCTGGATATAACAATCAGAACCATCTCAAAGCAGACAAATGTGAAAGCTATGGTATGTAAATTAATATTAAATAAATAATATTAAATGATTTTTTGTTAACAGTAAAAGGAAAAGTTATTGGCAAACTCCTGGAAATAATTTCTCATTCATTATTATAATATGTGCAAAATGTATCTGTTCATATTACAGACAGTACGCAGCATTGAAGACCCGGAAAAGAACCCTAAAGCTGTGGACAACTGGATTGACAGTATAAGGTGTGATCATATATGTTAATACTAATCTATCCACATACATTGATTACCATGTGAAAACAATAGAGGTCAATCCTCCATTTTGTAATAATTACCCAAGTGCCTAGGTACTTGATAATTAATAGAAATATTGTTATTATTATTATTATTATTATTATTATATATTTTTTTAATTGCAAGTAAAAAACAAAAAAAAATTACGCGGAAGAAAGAAATGAATAAAAAGAAAAAAAAATAGCGAATTTACACACTTACACGGCAATACTTAAATTACAAATATTATTATAAAATGTTATTATA